GAGAAATAATTTATGATGATACATTTCTAAATTCAATTCAATTCAGTTTATTTATATAGCGCCGACTGGGGTTCAAGGGGTTCAAGGGTTCAAGGAGACAGAAGCAGAGATACAAAAAGCAGCTGTAAAAGGCGGCCCCGTCCAGGAAACACACAGCCAGGCAGACGAGCTCCAAGGCAGCTCCCATGCCAGAGGACGAAGAGAGCACATCCACTCAGTCACGGCCAGAAAAAACAGGCGAAACTAAAACTTCTGGATAGAGCTTGTTGATACATATAATTACTGCTATAAGTTGGTTTCTCTGTCAGCTACATGCCTGTTTTAGAATGTCTATACTCCAGTAAACAATTAATAAATTACTAAATTAGTAGACCATTACTTCAATAATCGATCAATCAAGATTAATCCGATTGTTTCAGCCCTAGTCGTGATAAATGTTAGATGATAAACTTTCCCAGAAATCATTGCAACAGATGATATTGTCTTTGACTTGAATCCAAAGGGCTCCCACATTCCAGCTATCGCGTTCAGCAGTGAAACCTTTTCCATTTCTGTTCTTTCAAATCTCAGCTAACATTTATCTTTCTTGCTACTCCTTTTTCATTAGACACAAGGAAAACAAACGGCATAGAAAAATTAAACTTCTAGATTTATTATGCAATAAATTTTTACCATGAGATTATTAGGAGTATTGTGACAGGCCTATTTTACAAATAATGAACTAAGAATCTACATTTTTCATTCTAACAGATGCAATAAAATAATGCTTGAGAATTTAGATTTAAAATTGTATGGATTTGAGTCTGGAAATGTATTCAACTTTAGCATGACATCTGTTGCTTGTGTTATTCAACACAGGCAATGGAGTGCCGGATTGCTGGTGTGGTGCCGATGGTTAACGGGTGGTCAGACAAGTGCTGCCTTGCAGTTAAACAGCTTCTGGCTGGCAAGACTGTCACTGTGAAGCTGTTGAAAACAATGGAGAAAGAATGTGCCAATGTTGTTGATATCCTGCTTTCAAAGGGTGGGTATGATAGATGAGAATCCAAAACGAATTTCAGATTTAAAGATGTTAAAAGCCTTAAAATAACTCCTCTCTTGTGCATTTAAGGAAATCTTCTGAGTGCTTTTCTAGTTGAGAATGGTTATGCACAAGAAGAAACCGCTGATGCTAAACCAACCGAGAAAGATATCGGTATAGTTGCATATTTACTTCAGTTTGTGTTGTTTTGCAAATACTTCACAGGGTCTCTTTTTCCTTTAGATGCCATTTTGAATGCATCTTTTGAAAACTTTAAGTGCCTCTCTGATGGGAAAGATGACAATCAATGGGCTCAACCACCACCACCTATCCCAAAGTCAGTAGGAGAGCAGTTCCCTGTTATTGTCACCCACTTCGTGTCCCCCAGTGACTTTATTGTGCAGAAGGTGGAGAATGCTCGTAAGTCGCATGTCATCTAAAGAATTAAAACAGTCCCTCTCAACCCACTGCTCCCTGATGTAACTAGTATATTTGTTTGCAGAACTTATCCAGGAATTGCAGTTGAAGCTGAGGGACAGTTGCGTTCAGGTTTCTATGCAACAGAACTTTAGACCTGCTCCTGGAACAGCTTGTTGTGCCCAGTTCTCAGGTGAGGCACATTTTACTTTTAATCATTCTATCAGTAAGCACATTAGTTTTTTAAAACTGGATTATAAAGAACATCCTGTTGGTGAAGTTAATCTCGACTGGAAGACTTTCTATTGAACCTTAAAATTGTTTGCCTTCGTCTAGGTTATTATAAAATAACCGAATGGTTTTAGAACATCTTAACATAAAGTGTCTCTTAAAACTATTTAATTTTGTTCAACTGACATTATTAGAATGTGTACCTTATCAGGTATCTGTTTGTCAAATTTAAAAAAATAACTTGGACATGTTGATATAACCTGAGAAGATCATGACCATTGAATGAAACACTGATAACAAAAATGACAAATTCTCTGAAAAAAAAAGAAAAAAAGAAAACTGGTTTGAGATGCTGCCAAAGAAGAACTCAACCCCAAAATAAGCTGTCAGATAGTGGTTGAATCCTTGATATGACAATTTCTGTTTTTTCTAATTGCTCTGCTGAGCCTTAAGGGTCAGGTTGCAGAAAAAAGTAAAAGAGAGAGGCTAAAATCTCCCTAAACATTGAAAGTATTTATGCTGTTGTACAAATTCAACAGTAATATTTAGACATAATTTCTTAAAAATAGAGGTTTCAGCACAAAAATAACTACATTATTAATAGAGCCCTATTGGCTGATAAGTAAAGAACAAAAACATTGTATTTGTTTTACTTAGTCACCCTTAAAACTAAGGATATTTTTCTCTACTTTCCAGAGGACAAGCAGTGGTACCGGGTTAAAGTTCTGGCTTATCCTTCTGCGGAGCGAGTGTGTGTCGGCTACCTCGATTTTGGCAACTTTGAGGAGGTGAATTTAGACCAGTTGCTTCCCATTACCACCTCACTGCTGGATATTCCTATGCAGGCTATCCCGTGTGCTCTAGCAGGTATTTTATCATCGTTTCAACAGATTTAAATGAGTCATGTTTCATCACATTTTATTTTGCTTGATAATTTAGTTGCAAGAACTGCATTTAGTTGCTTTGTTTTACTGTTTTTTTTTTTGTAGAGTCGGAAAAATGAAGCTGAAATGTGATGAAATATGTCCTTAAAAAAAAAAAAAAAAAAGTATTTTTTGAAGGCGAATATTTAATTATTTCGTTTTATTTGCCTTACTTTTAGGGGTTCAGCCTGTTGGGACGGGCTGGTCAATGGAATGCATTTTGGCTCTGCAGTGCCGGTTGTCTAACAAAGTACTACACGTTGAGATCCAGGGAGAGCAGGAGGGCAAGGCTCTGGTGTCCGTGATCGACGAGGGCAGTGACCCTCAGGCTGATTTGGCTGAGCTCCTGATCCATGCAGGTTACGCGTCACCTGTCTCTGTTTCTACCGCGGTTAACCTGCCGGCTGAGGAGACGATTGCTGCTGCAGAGTCAAGTGGTGGGCAAAGTGAATTGATCTCAATCCTTTCATAGTTTCTGTATTACATCCTGCATCCTCACGCTATAAACTACTGATGTAGGATGGGTCAAATTACATTTTTAATCGCATAATTGTTGCTGTTTAAGAATTTTGGAGATGCTCCTTTTAAGTGATTATTGATTTCATACTTTTGTTATTAAGTTTGCAGACTTATAGAGCAGGCAACACCTTTCTGAATGTAATGATTCTGTTGAAGTATGCTCCTCAGTGTCTCCCAGTGTGTCTGGGGCTCTGGTGTGGACTACTGTTGAGCTTCCCTCTGATGGCCAGATGGTGGAGCTATTACCCACTGTCGTGGAAAACCCTGGAAAGTTTTACTGCCACCTCTGTAGCCCAACAGGTATCGTTTCTTCAACCACCAAAGCTGATAATTAAAACAGTGAAAAACCTCACTAAACTAACTGTTTAGACTTTAGATTCTTTATATGAGAATTTAATGGTTGTGCTAAACTGTGATAACATGAATGTTCATTGTCATTTCTAAAAATTAAAGCAAGATATTTTTCTAAGAATTAAATTTTTGAAAGAAAAATGACTTTCTTTCCAGAGCTGCAGAAGTTTGCGGAGCTGGAGTTTCAATTAAAGGAGCACTGTGAGGCTGAAACTTCCCCTTTTTCCCCCAAAGTAGGAGAACCGTGCTGTGCGCTGACTCCTGGTGAGAACATCTTGATACAATCAGCATTCCTGCAACATTTGAGCTTGATGCTAAATTGGACACTTTGGGTTCAGAATTGAAGTATTCTTTGGAGTTTATTAAATAAGTTGATGAACATGAATGTCATAATGATTAGGGTTTGGCATCATTTGAATTTGAATATCTAACTTTGTGTAAATGTTACCAGGGGTGTCCTGATTCCCCTTTCTCATTTCCAATACGATACAAATATTGCGGCTTTGAGAATTTAACCATACAGGTGTTGAACAGATACAATATTAGTTTGGATCATTCCAGCTTTTATTACTTATTTTATACTGCAGAATGTTAAAGGCTTGATCTTGTTGCTAAAACAAGGAATAAAATTCAACAACTAAAGGTATGAAAACAACTGATTGATGTAAAGTTAAGCAACTGGTTACAGAAACTTTTAATAGAAGCATAGTATTTCTATCAGCATGAAAATATGAGAGATTTTAGATGCCAGGGAATTAAATTCAATATTAGTTTTTGTGGCTAATATTGGATCAATATTGATATCAGATCGGGACGTCACCAAATATTTTCAATCAGTATAATATCGAACCTATAAAATCTAATAGAATATTATTAATTTTCTTTTCAGTTACATTTTCTTATATAGCCTTAAAAAAAAAAAAACTCATTAAAACACATTTACATACAGCAAGGAAAATAAGTATTTGAACACCCTGCTATTATGCAGCTTTTCCAACTTAGAAATGGAAGGGGTCGGAAATTGTCATCATAGGTGACAAACTGATTCAAAAAAACAATTTTAATGGAAATTGTATGCTGTGGTAAAAACATAATAGTTCAAATAATAGCCGTTGGTCCACAACTGTAATTTCCCCCTGTATCCCTCGGCTTTTTAACCAGCTCTATAGATACCCTGGATACTGATTTCTATGGAAGACAAAATAAAAAAAATATATATTTTTTTATTTTCTTTGTCTCTAATCTCACATGTTAGTGATTTACATTATGTATCTGTTTTTTGTTTTTAATTATCCTTTTTTTTTCTGTAAAAGGCAAAGGAGCTTGGGCACGAGCTATGGTGGAAGAGGTATCTGGTGACAGAGTGGTTGTAAACTTTCTGGATTCCGGTTTTAAAATACCCGTGAATAAAGGCCACCTTCGATCCATTACACCTAAACTCCTCACAATCCCCTTCCAGGCCGTTTGCTGCTGGCTTGAAGGTAAAAAAAGTAGAGAGAATAACAGAGTTGACACTTTATGAATGAGCATTTTTCCTTAAAGATATTTGCGTATAGCTTTAATTAATGGAATATAAAAACTTGGCTTACATAATTTGAAGGTTCATTTCTTAAGCCTAGGTTGATAGGAGCAAGGATTATACTCTTTAACTGAGTTCTCCTTGTTTGTATGTAGGTGTGGAGCCTATTGGCTCAGAATGGAGTGGTGGAGCGTTGGTGTGGTTCCAGAATTTTGTGGGTGGACAACAGCTGTCTGCTCGGGTCCTGTCCGTCACTGACCGGGGGTATGGAGTGGAGCTCATATGCAGAGGCCAGAACATGGCAGCTGCTCTCATCATTGAACGGCTAGCCAAAGCTACAAGGCAGCCTGCCAAAGAAACACTACAACTGGAATCCACAATGCAGAAACAAGACAGCAGATCTCAAGCCAGTCAGCATGTTGAAACCAGTTCTAGAGAATTTCCAAATGAAATTCAGACGTCTGTGGGTGAGATGAAATGTTGTCCCTAAGAGTGAAATTTCTAAAATATTTTCCCAACCAGGTTATGATATAATATTGTTTGCTTTTAGCTGCAGGTTTTCCAGTTGATTGGAAGACAGTGGAGCTGCCTTTGAAAGAGAGCTTTCACCCTCATGTAGCAGCAGTTATTAGCCCTTCACTCTTTTACCTCCTCCGTTCAACAGAGGGTGAATATCTACTTTTTAATTAAAAAAAAAAGACATCTTTATGCATTCATATTTTAAATTTACCATTTATTATGTGAAGTTGACCAGAAAAAGATCCAGAAGGTGATGATGGACCTGGATACCTACTGCAATACCTACCAGCCCACTTTATCATCAGAGATGAAAAGCAGCCCTGCTGCAGGTGCTGCCTGTTGTGCCCAGTATTCTGGTAAGGAAAATCCTGTTATTAATGAAATAAACAAATGTTTTGTTAGCCAGTTTTTAGTAGGTATTACTGATTCTATTCTGTGTCTCTTTTAATACAAACTATTTTCATTCATTGCAATTTCTGATTCATTTCGGATCTTTCTTATCCATTAATGTTGTTTGCTAAAAAAAACTCTAATACAGTAGCCTCCAGCCTTTTATCTCTCATAAGCTACTTTTGTACACCGAGTTTTATGTCTCTTTAAACTTCTCTTTGAATAAAGTTGGTATGGTAAGATGCAGTGAAATTTTATAAATCTAAGAAAGTCCAGATTAGGGATGCACGTTATCCATGAATCCAGAGTTGATTGATCTATCAGTTGACTAACAATTCATTGATAAGTGGCCATTCCCTCCTGATACCAGAGGAAGTAAAAAGTTTTCTCTGTTGTCAAGAGGATCTTTCCGTAACATGAAGGGCTAGACATTTTTTTACAATATGAATTGTTTTCCTACACATTTCTTGAATTATAAGATGCACTAAAACAGAAAAGTATTAGGTTACTGACAAAAAAAGACTTTTTAGGTGATAACTTAAGGAGTTTATCAACTGTTTGTATTTTCAAACTTCATAAAGTGTAATCTTCATCCTTTTTGCCAACACTGAAACTCCTGAAGCAAGTGTTATTAATCAGTTGAACAGAGCAAATTTTAATCTAATCATCCCTTAATTGACAGTTAATCATAAGTCGATTTGTTTACAAACCTAGTCTGGATCAATTTTGCAGTGAGCAGTAAATCCTGAGATTATGGAAATTGTTTTTAATAGAAATCATATCACTAAATACTCCTCAACAGCATTATACATACTGACACCTTAAGTCAGGGGTTGGCAACCTGCGCCTCCACAGCTGAATGCGGCTCTTTATTGCCCACCTTGCAGATAACTGGAGCTTTTTCAAAAATGAAAATGGAAAAATATTTTTTGTTTTAATGTTGTGAGCAGGAGGTCAAACAAGCAATTATTAGTTTTCCAATGCTGTAAAAATGTGTATAGTAAATGGATGCATGTGAGCACAGCACTGTAGCTAAATGAATATTTCATTCTAGAAATACTGCAAAGCAAGACTTATAAATGCTATGTTTGCAAAGCTGTTGTGCCACGTGGCAGAAGCTCTGTTAGAACCAATAATTGAACCAACAAGGTAAAAAACATGGAAAACCAGGCAACATGAAATGACAGCCTGGTTCATATGGCAAGATTTTAAGTTGTTTGTGGATATTTCAAAATTAAAGATAAAAACACTGTGATAGAACAGTTTTTGTACTGCATTGTGTTCTCTCCAGCCAGCACTTCACACACATGAGCCCATTTCACCCAGAACCTTTAGTTCCCAGATGGAAAATCTTGCCAAACCTTTAGAGTTTCAGTTCTATTTTAGTTTTGGCTCTTATTTATTAACTATTTTAATTTTGTTTTTATTTTATTAAAAAATGCTTAGTTTCAGATTAGCTTTTATTAGTTCCAGTTATAGTTTTAGTCTTTTATGTAATACAACTTGCATAAAATCCCACATAAGAACAGACAACAAATGACAGCAACACAAACAACCTGACATCGTACCTGCCATCTGCTGGCATAATGCGGTACAAAGAAAAAAGCATAAAATGCAACAGAAACTAAACCTCACACTAATGCATTATGATAAAAATGCAAAAGAAAACTAAGCTCATTTTCTCCTGAAATTCATTGAGCTTTACTTAGTTTTGTAAAGTCTTACTACAGTCATTTTTTATTTTCAAAGTTTTGTTTTTAAAGTTATTTCAGGCAAAAGTGTTTCTAGTTCTGTTCCTAGTTTTCGATATTTCCTTAGTTTTATTTAACAATAATCTTGAAATGCAGTAACACAGAGTTATCTGACTGATGGTTATTATATTTGATTATTTATTAACTTACATCTGAATGAACAAATTCATTGAAGTGTGGCCAGATTATGGTGTTATTATAAGCATGCAACAAGCCAGCCTACACTGAATTAAAGATGCCAAAGAAGGATGCTTTTTTCTGGTGGGCAGATTTCTGATGTTTCCATTTGCTTTAAAGCGAATTGAACAACCACTGCAAAGTGTCATGTATTCATAGGTTGACATCCACATTAGTCATCACGCATGGCTTTAGTCATCAGGAGGTAAAGGCTGCAGTCTAGCACTGATCATAATGGAGGAAAGTTTTGATAAATGCATAATCTCATCAATGTAAATAAAGTAAAGCTGCTCTATAGCTTGTAGCTACAGTAAAGAGCAGATAAACGAGCAGAGCATTGAAGGGTGAAATAATTTTGACCAGTGCTTGACCCAGCCTCCAAGTTTCGCCATTTAAGCATTTTTAATGCCCAGATCGCATTCAGTGTGAATGCACCTTAAAGCTACAGTGTGTAATAATTACAGGGATATACAGTCAGAAATGTAATATATTATACATAACTATGTTATTTATCATCATCTACAAGCTCAGCCTCTTATCCTTAATATTTGCGTTGCCTTAGAATTTGTTATTTATAATTACATAGGAGCGGTTCCCGCAGCCTGGAGGCAGACATCTTTGCGCTACGGCAGC